CGTATATATACATATACATACGTATATATACATACATATATATATACACATACATATATATACATATATATATATATACATATATATATATCAGATATATATATATGTATATACATATCATATATATATATATATATATACATACATACATACATATATATATATATATATATATATATATATATGTATATATATATATATATATATATATATATATATATATATATATATATATATATATACACACATATGATGGACTCGATTTCGACGTATGAGGTTTTTGAATATTGTCTTCTCACCCCAGATGGGACTCATGCAGCTGGTTTAGTGTCTATGTCTTTCAGGGCGTTTCAGACCTTCGAGTAAATTGCTACGAAGACCTTAGAGCACACATGTACAGTAGTTAGAATCCCGAATGGAAAGTATGTTTGCTGCAGCTTTTCTTCTATCGTTGTATCACGTGAAAATGGTTGATGGAAGTGGCTCTGTGATGATCGATTCCAATGCAACATCTTGTCTGATATTTAGCTCTCTCATTGCCTAAAACGATCCATGTGGAATATTGGCGGCCGTAAATTTCTTTTTCTCTTTTCCCTTGTACCTTAAACATTTCCTCCCAACGTTTCGCCGAGCCAACGCTAGCTGGCTGTACATCAGGATCTTCGGTATGCGGTCAACATCCATCCTGATCATATGATCAACTCAACACAATTGTGATATCATGAGAAATCTATGTGTACCACCAATGCTGAACAGGTTCGAAATTGACACTTTCTCGCCGAAAGATATCCCACAGATTGCTCTGAGGAACTCTTTGTGGAAAACGTCAATTTGGTTTATATGGCGACGACACAGTGTCCATGATTCAGAAATATACAGCAAGATAATAAGGATAGCATCCTTGTAAATCAGAACTTTCGTGCCCATGAAGCCATGTTCATTCCAAAGGCGGTGGTGAAATTTCTCGAATGCAGTGCTGTATTTAGCATTTAGATTGGCAATATCGTGATCTAGGGTGCCACTGGAATTGATATTACTTCCAAGGTGGGTGAATGCTTTAACATGTTCGAGATTTTGACCATCAACCTGAACAGAAGTTTCCTCCTCATAGTTACACGTTTTCTAAATTCTATTTTTATTTCCGGAGTTGGGTTTTTTCTGTTTTCTTTTTGAATTTGTAGGTCTAATGAATTGGATCGTATTTACGATTCCAATGGAATAAATTATGACCATGGAATATTAGTGTTTAAGCCTTTTTATTATATATATATATATATATATATATATATATATATATATAAAGAGAAAGAACAAATACATTAAAAATCCACCGTTCATAGCATTTACTATTTTTTAAAAAGTGCTCGATACAACGTAGAGCAAAATATTATAAAATATTTTGCTTCGCAACACAATAATCTCTAGGTTTCGGAACTTAAAAATTTGGAAACTTATGAAAATGATTTACTTCTGAAATCAGAAAACAATTTGGTAGCTTATTTGAGAGTTAAAAGGGAAGGAGAACAAGATTTTAAAAATTTGTTGGTATGTCTTGGTTAACCAATCAAAAGATGGATCAAAGCTAAAATAGAAAAATGAAAAATTAGGTTAGAAGTTGAGTGTATCTGGGTTATTGATTCATGTCTAGACGAATTAACACGTTTAAGAAACGTCTGCACAAACGACACCCGGTTACGAATATAAATTTAAGATACACTGAATTAGAGATATGTATTAAAAAATGTTAATTTTAAAGAATTTCAAAATTAAAAAAATAATTATATACCTGATAACTATCTTAAAGGGGTCTCTAGTGTGATTACATCATTTTTACATATATTATTTTGAACCCAAAATACAATACTTATTATATTGAATGACAAATGAAACATGGCAATATTAAAGTTGAAAAATCAAAGAAATAAATATTATTTGGATCATTATATATTAATAAAATAATGGAAGTATAATTCTAATGCACATATATTTTATGAAAAATGAAAAAATATACAATGCCTACAAATTACTGTTAATTCATTAAGCTCATTTAGGAGATCATTGTTCTCTAGGGAACTTAATAAGATGCAGCTTTTCATGTAGACAGAGAAAACATGGGTCATTTAAGGACTAAAAAATTCTCATTTTTTTTCTTTAGATATTTTCCATTTATGTTGGGGCTTTTATCGATTTCTTTTAAATACGCATATTTCGATTGGGATGTCCGGTTTAGGTACGCATTATTTTTAAAACAAGACATATGCTGATATCACCTTTGTTTAAAAGGTTTTTTTGTGCTACCAATATGAAATGTTTTCAGGAGATGAAATGTTGCATTAGTAAACAATTGATTCTGTAAGACATCTATTTTGCAAAGGAAACTACTATTGTTATTTAGGTTTAAGTGCTTATTTAAAATTCTAATGTGTTTTAATAATTTGTTCTTAGATTATCAGTACAACTGTAACTTAATTTAAGCGTATTTTATTGAAACTCTTGCTTAGAGGATTATTACTTGCGAAATGTTTCTCAATCAAAGCGAGAAACTTTTGCTCTAACTTAGTTCTAACCATTTGGTTAAATGGGGTTGTGTACCAAATGATATTTTCTATTTCGATTTTTTCGAGCTATCATTAATAGGTTTTCTGTATTTAATATCGGGCCATTTATAGCCATTATTTAAAAAAATGGTGACTATAAATGCCACTAAATTAGGGAATAAAGTTTCTCCCTTCCAATGTTCGAGCGCAGATAAAATGAGCATTTTAAAGCTGATTTTCAAAGAAGACAGACTCCTTCTGCAAAATCGACATAACAGAATCTTTCTCGCGACCTATTGCACTAGATGTAACCAAATTGATTTGATATTCATTTACCTTATATATTTGCAATTATTCTCAATGCAGTTGACACTTGTACTCTCCTGGTGCACCAATTACGAAACATATTGCTTGCTACCGACGCATATATACGTTTTCTAGACAACCTGAAAAGTCGGACCCAAGCATTTGTGTTATAAACTAACTAGATCTTAGTGATATTTTCAAAGCAGCATAGACATTTTGTATGTACAGTATGACCTATTCTGTGACTTATTTCTGTTTAATTGCGCTGAGTATGTCAAACACTACCGGGTATCTGCTCAAAACCATAATGGTGACATCCATGAGAAATCATTATCAGCGTCTGTATAGTATGTTACATTTTAAAAAATTACAAATTCCTTATTTTTATATAAACGGACCATGAAACAATGCTCTTATGACGCAACAAGTTTTAATTCAGCAGCGAATATTGCTTTCACACATATAGAGATTAAACATTATACACCGAAATGATCAGATGAACATCCAATGTATAATCTCTTGGAAAATCGACGCAACAGAATCTTCTTTTCTCACTTGGTTCTCTCCCACTCTATACAGCTAAGCTAACTTAATATCTATTTTCTTTATGTCCATTTGATAATTTCTTGTATAGACTCCTCACACACACACACACACACACACACACACACACACACACACACACACACACACACACACAAACATATGTCCAATTTGCAATAAATTATGTGAAATAGATCCGGATTAGATTGATATGCAAAATAAGCTGTCAAATATTTTGTGGAAAAATGTCTAAACCCCTTGCAAGATGTAAGAGATCACACAATTTATAAGCCACTTGCACATATTTGACTAGTTTTATTTTACTCAATTACTTATTCTGTGACATAATAATTCATCTTTATTTTTAATTTTGTAGCATAATATTCCAATTTTCAGGTAGCAGTTGGCGGCCACAATCTTAACAACATATGATACACAGATAACACACTGTTGATAGCAGACACAGAAAGGAAACAACAAGAACTCCTAGAGAAGATAGTAAAGGAAAGCGAGAAGAAATGACTAAACATCAATTGCAAGATGACACGGTGTATGATTTTCAGCAAAAAATCAACAAATGAAATTACAAATTGGAGGTACCAAAATCAACCAAATAAAACAATTTAAATATGTGGGAAGTGTTTTGACTGAGGGCGGAATGGGCAACATCAAAATCCGAAGGCGCATTGGAATAGCGAAAGTGGCCTTCCTAAAGCTAAGAAAAGTATAAAGAAACAGGAAAATTTTGTTAGAAAGAAAGGAAAGTGTAGTAAACTGTTACGTAATATCGGTTCTCTTATATGAAAGTGAATAAGAGAATATGTAGAAGAGGCAAATACCAGAAATGTGATTCTACAGACGGATGCTAAGAATATCATGTATTAAACAAGTGAGCAACGGCAAAGTTTTAGTGAAAATGAATACAAAAAAGGGGACATCAGAATAATCTACAACCCATAATGAGGAGAGAGGTCTTGTAAGATTTGACACTCACAAGACATATTGAAAGCAAAAGGGACAGGGGAAAGCAGTGCATAAATCCTGCCTAACGAGCTTGTGTAAATAGATGGCTGATCAGGGTTTAGAAGAGATAACAAAAAAAAAAAAAAATAAACTTTACTCAGAGCTACAAAGGACAGGAAATTGTGGAAATCCATGATCGACAACGTCCTGAAGAGACACAGAAGAAAATCTTTTGCGCCTTAATAGTACCAATGAAATTGTTATATAAATAGCAACACTAAATTAATGGTCGATAACTATCATATTATATATATATATATATATATATATATATATATATATATATATATATATATATATATATCGTATCCAAGGCTTCTCCTACAAATTTAGAGTGCTGGTGTAGCTATTCGTCAGTATACATATTTCAGATGATATTTTGAAATAGATACGTTCAATTACATCTATTGATCATATCTCTTTTATATAACATTTTTTCATTTCCAATCAAGAAAATGTTCTTTTGATATTCACTATCTTAAAATCAGCGATGTATTGTTCGATATGCCGAACGTTATTTGTAATTGGATTGCTAATCGAAAAACGAATTTTTCGATTATCAATTTCAGTGATTTAGTCTTGTGCCAGGATTACGGTTATATCACGTTGAAACACCGGTTCTCATACGATCACTAAAGTTAAGCAACGTCGAACCTGATTTGTACGTAAATGGGGACAACTTCGAAATACCAGGTGCTGTAATCTTGGGTGTAAGTGTTGTGTATTGGAGATCAGTGGATCTGTTTCTAGTTGCAGTTTTTAATATTCCCTTAAACGTAAATATCATTGGGAAAGGTATTAATCCAACTCTGCTCCCTCAGTTATGGATTAATTAGTAGGATTTGTATCAGTAAATAATTATTATCTCCAACAAATATTCTTACAATATAAAAATATTTTATGGCTTCAAATAACCGGTGAAAGTTTGATAGGCCATGAAAACCAACCAATCGGTGTCTTATGCTGTCTCGCTTTTGGTTTGAATAATAGAGTCAGATGTTACATGAATCACTTAATGATTTAGTTGCCTCTCAGATTCTTTTGGAGCTCGCAATCAAGAAGTAAAGCATTTTGTACAGAGAATATGTTTTAGTCAATCTAAAGTTCTTTCTCTTGTAGTTCCTTAGTCCTATACTTTTGTCATAACTCTTTTTTCAAGCGTATACTTTTCATTCGCTTTCCTTTTTTTTATAACCATCTACAATTTGAGTGGAATGAATTCCAACAAAATATACATGAAGGACAAAATTAAGCAACTTGCAGATTTTTTCATGTTTTAATACTAAGATGTTTTATGTTGTACTATTAGGATTTTGAATGATTCAATATTAGTTTGATATATTACGATTTAGTATATGTGCCTGTATTACTTGTACGATTTTGTTTATGTTTCAATATTAATATTTTGTACATTCTTACAGATTATAATGTGAGAAAATCATGGACGGTATCCGAATGGGTTTTCTGTTTGTTTTATTGTGTTTTAAAGGATAACATAAACAAGATTGGTTAGGAGTAAAATCTAAATTGTTGGAAAGCAAATTCAATTTAAAACTATTTGCCCCATCTGGGTTACCCGATCTAGCGGTATTTCTGACCGGCCTCAACAGCAAAATTATACGCTGTATTTTATCAAAACCTTTCAGGATAACGCGCACATTTGGTTCTGATGCAAGTGTTTCGTCTATCCTTATCTGATTGGGTGTTATGATGGATATATTGGGTTTCGAATATTTTTACACCAGCGTCTCTTTCTTCGCTCGACGAGTTCATACTACTACTACTGCTACTACTACTACTACTACTAATAATAATAATGATAAGAATTATAATAATAAAAAGATTGGATGCCAAGACCAGAAAAATGCTTACGCAAATGATGATGCACCACCCGAAATCAAATTTTGATAGGCTGTATATTCCATGAGATTTAGAAGGCCGAGGTTTAATCCAAATTGAACTTACTCTAAAAACAACAACAATCGTATTGGAAGCATGCCTCATATAAACCAATGACCCTCTCCTACAAATAGTAAAACCCCAAATCCACTCCATCAACAAAGAAGATGCACTCTTCAAGAAACAGCTTAATATAACTGAAACCCTGAAAAAATACGAAGCGAATACCATCTACGCCAAACGAGTAAAGCAGAAAGCAAAACAACATGGCCAAATGAAATTACAAAAGAAAAATTGGAAGGACAAGGCGTTGTATGGCAAATACCTAAAATAAACGAAAGAAGCAGATGTGGACCAACAGAAAACACCTCAGTGACTGAGAACCACCGGGTTGAAAGTTGAGACAGAAGGCATAGTTTTTGCAGCGCAGGGCTAAATCCTCGCAACCAGATGCTATCACTGTCAGATAATCAAGAATGGAACTAACCCGAAATCCAGGGTCTGCGGAAAATATGATGCAAGTGTCGACCATAAAAATGAATATAAGCACAGAAATAACAAGGTACCCACAGATGTTCACTGGAATGTATGCAAGAAGCACAAAATCGAAATCACTGAGAGAGAGTATGAGCACCAACCAGGCACAGTTACCCAAGATAACAATTTAACTATCCTCTGGAACATATCAATTCAAAGTGACAGGGAAACATCTCCATCAAAATTATTGAGAAATTGTCTAAATACAAAGAGATTAACATGATTTGGGGAATGAGGACTAAGACTGTACCAAAAGAGTTCTGGGCCTCGCGAACAATTTTACTAAGAGTCTCCCAGCTAACATCAACATACAAGTTGCCATACTAGGAACATCCAAATTCTAAAAAAAAGAGGTATCAATTAAATGACAATTCTCCTATAGGGCTTAAGGATTATAGTTTGAACCCGGCTCTTCAGGATACAAAGTAGGAAACATAACATACACAAATAATCAGTCACTCAGTTATCTGGCATACGTGATACACACTTAAGCGATCATTTATCGTTCTATACATGACTGACGAGGCAGATTCTTCCCGCAGTAGGTTGCCATTTCTTTCTGCGGTAGACCAGATGCCATCCAAGGCTATAGAACCCTGTCTGTGTGGGAGAAGAAGAAGAGGATTCATACATTTCCCAACGGTATTAGCACGTAAGTGAATGTAACAGATTCGACTGAAATTCGAATCGACTCTCCGATTCCTCAATCGGAGACGCTATCCATTATTCCACTGTGCCTCCACACAAATAATAATATAGATTGAGTTATTGAACACCAAGGACCAGATAAAATTATCCTCAACACAACTAAAAATGAATGCCAAATAACTGATGACACTAATATAGCAACAAAACAAATTGAAAAACTCAGCAATTACTCTAACCTGATGGAGAAAATTGCCAGATTGTGGAAATACCAGAAAGATAAAATATTAAATTGATCCCAGTAGTGATTGAGGCACTCGGTTCCATCCCATTAAAATATAAATATGTCGACCAATTTACTGTAAAATATACTTTACGATAGCTACAAATTTCTGCCTTATTTGCTATAAGCATACTCCGAAAAGTTCTATCTGTCTGAGGTCCTTGTTGTGATTTGACAGGCAGTATCTTCCCTGGCACTTAAGACATCGGCATAACAACAATACCATGATACATTCAAAAATAATATAGACAGAATGTAAAAAGGAAAAAGAAAGAAAGAATTAAATCTGGTCATCATTGAAGATTGCTTTGACTCTGCTCTTAAGAGCACTTAAGGACTGCACAATGTAATATTATGAAGGATTAATTATGGCAGGTAATATTTGCAGTATAACTGAGAGGAGAACAAACAGAGAATCAGAAAAATGCTAAAAGATATAACCGAAAACGGGAAGGAAAAATACACTGATTTTTCAAGAGACATACTGTAGGAAAATAGCAAATCATATGATATGAATATTGTAGTAAAAAAGGCTCCTAAACAGACTCTAAATTCCAATTAATGGTAGTTCAAAATAATTATTAAAAACTATCTCACGGATCAGTGTATAATAATGATAATTCCTCATTTCAGAAACTGTTGTTTTTCTGACCAATCCTAAAATAGATTTTTTTTAAGTTCATTGAAATTATTCGTTTTGTTTTTTTCTTATGTACACAGAAATTAGGCATGACTAGCTGTTTTCCGTTACCAACATAGTTAATATTTTAATTTAAATATTCGTTAAATTTTTATTCGCTTTATTCCATGAATAGTGAGAGTTCGGTCAAAGTATAGAGGTAAAATTGAAATAATAACCGCATATATTATTGCTTTTTTTACTCATATTTCTGAATTTCTTTAATTATTTACATGCAGACTATTGTCATCTTATTTGTTGTCTTAATTAGTCATAATGAGGGTGAGATTAGTTCACGGGCTGGGCTGGGCTGGGTTAGTGTGAATTTTGTACGCAGCTGAAACATTGAGCAATAAATAGATAATACTAAATACGAACTAGACGAGATATCGCTAAACATGGACAAAGAAATTAGAATAATCTACCCTCGTAAATTAAATAAAAGCGTTCAATTCGAAATTCCTTAAATTGCCCGGATGAATGTCACAACGGCTGTAACATTCTGATAATAACAATAAAATGAGGACTATCGTCCACATGTAAGCGCTGAAAATGCAGTCTGTATATTTCATAGTAAAAAATAAAAAAATAAATGGAATTGCTATTGGTCAAAACATCGTATCAATGTTACAAACAGAATGTGGCTATTATCTATTCTATAGTACAAAACATCTACATCCAGCTCTAGGTTAAATAGCAAGGTAGACTGTACTTTCTGGCCTTGAGGTGGAAACAAGTGTTGGAGAAGGAAAGCTCTGAATTCCTAACCAATTCCGAAGAGTGATAAGTTCTGTTAAGCTAACTTACTCTAAGTATAACCCTGCTGCTATAACCGCGGTGCCTATATGACCCTAATTGTTTATGGGACTCGTTATGTGACTTGAATCAAGTTGATTTTCTTTGTTAATAATGCAATATTCCGGTGTTATGGTAACACAAACGACATTCGTCGTTCTAACATTACGATGAAAGCAGCTTATTTATTGATTTGCTAATTATTTATTTATTTTGTTTCATAATATTTTTTTAATGATTTAAGAAAACGAATTATTTTTTTATAGGCGACTACAGAGTTAATTATTAATATTAAAATCCTCCATTATTCATGCAGAAAATAAAACTAAAATAAATTTAATTAGACATTCTCACCGAGAACAGGAGAAAATTCTGTACAACCGGAGATCTTATTTAAAACTAATGCACACACACACACACACACACACACACACACATATTACTTTTGTCTTTTATTCATATTGCTCTTTTGCAGATATATACTTTAGCTATATCTGAAAGTCTACACACACACACACACACACACACACACACACACACACACACACACATATATATATATATATATATATATATATATATATATATATATATTTGCTTTTGTCTTTATTCATGTTGTCTTTTTACAGATATATATTTTATATTAGCCGAAGCATTTCGTCCTCAGAGGGTACATTATCAAGGTATTTCATCCTCTAACGTACTTTATCAAGGTATTTGCTGCGGGCTAAGATAATTTTTCCTTTTCTTGTTATTCATATTGTCTTTTTACAGATATACTCTATCTGAAAATTTTACATATATATTTTATTTATATACATTATTCTATACACGCACACACACACACGCACACACACATACATAC